AATCTCCAAAAATGAAAGTTGCTCAACTTTTCAAACTCTACAACTTTTCTTCAATGAACATTTTCAAATTCTGCCTCCATTTTGAAATTTGAATTTGGGGTGCATTTGAGTATTTGAATCATTTCAAAATTACTCCAAATTTTATATGTAAACTTGAAAAACTTTGAATACCAAAGTTGATCCACATAAAATAATCTTCAACTTTGCTTTTTGCCTCAACCCCAAATTCCACATGGATTTTGAATTAGTCAAAAGGGGCAAAAAGGACTTTTATAATTTGAATTTGAATTCAAATTTGATTTGTCTTTCTTTTACTTTAACTTTGATTTTTGACCAGTAACATGGCCCATTAGGGTTATTTGAGTCAAAAGACACATGGCCTCACATGATCACATGAAATTTGACCCTTGTGGTCATGATCTTTATTTAGGGTTTTGAAACACATCACATGAAATAACAACATTATGAAATAAAGCTTATTTAGTGAATGCATTCAAAATTTTCTACTCCATGAATGCTTTGCAATGCATATGATGACATGTCAAATTTTAGTGCTAGGTCAAAACACCAGAGGTGTTACATTCAGACAGCAGATTCTCCAGATCGTGACTTATCATATAAGCCTGCTCAGCTTATAAGCGAGACTCAGAAAAGCTGAAACAAATAGGGACGAACTAAGACCAAGCGTATAAACTTACCCCCAAAACGTGCCATACTATGGCGGCGAGATGACAGGCGGCGACAAAACACTGAATTGGTCGACAACAAGGCTCGTTTGCCCCTTGGTGTGGGTCGGATGCTAGCGAGCCTCCAATCCTAGCTGCAAGAGCACTGAATCAAGGTGGGGTATCACAAACCACGCGTATAAGTTTGCGAAGCAGCGTGGCTCTGTTGGCGGCAAGGCAAACGGGGCAATGGCTTCTACGCTCGGACAACCTCGACCAAGCCTATGTTAAATGAGCGGGAGCATCCGCACGGTGAGGCTCAGAGGGAGCGTGCCGTGGGGTGCCGAGATGGGACCGCTCGGTCTTGGCAGGGCACGGATGGTGGCAGTGGAATAGTGGTCACGCGGGAAAGGCATTGACACCACAACAAAGGGCAGCAACACAACGGAAAAGCGGATGCAGACGATGACTCGGCGGGTAGGTGAATTGAGCGGCGAGACGAGCACCACGACGGCCAGACGGTGACTACCGTGGCATCGGCTTGTCCCCACGCATGGCTTGGCCAGCAGCACGCATGCGGCAGCCACGTAGCAGCACTGCAGCTCAGCCCGGCCCTACGGAAGGCGACTATGGCTAGCACAGCCTGACGTGCAGCCGGCGTCCCGTAGCCAACGAGGCCATCCAACGGGGCAACGGCCACGGCCAGGAACGGCTGCGCAGCAGCAGCGTACTCGCATGGTGACTGCGAACCCAGACCGAAAACCACAAGTGGTGACGTGCATGTGTTTTAAAGCGAAGCAAAGGATGCCGATCATCTCAACCGAAGTTCAACCAATCCTACTAACCTAAAGTTGACACTACAACTAGCTAGCAGAGCAATCGTCATGACCGAGAGCAACCAGAGAGGGAGATAAAAGGATGCCAACTTAGGTTCGTCGCTAGAGTGCCGGTTCACGAATAGAGCGCTAACAACATGGTTTACAACGCGTTCTAACGAAGTTTGGGCAATTTTTACGAGAGCAATGTGACATCCAACACAACTTCGACCTATGCCATGCTCAAGCACTCACTTTGATGCAATCAACAATACCAAAATATGCAGCTAGTGTTTAAACATTTTTGTTAGAAATTAAATGTCAAAATAGCATTGTCTTTCTACTTTTCCATATTCATAAAGTTAAGGATTTCAGTTGGGCTAAGTAACCATTAACTCTTTTATCACAATTTTTAATAGGTCTATACCTTGTTAACTTCAACCAACAAATACTTCATGCAATAGTCCATACCATATACTAACCCATAGGAGCAAAATATTTAACCACCATTTAACTATTTCGCTCAATATAATTCGTCAAAAATGGTATTTTAACAATAGTTCAAGTGTTTGCTGACTTAACGAAAAGAGCTTATCTTAACATCAAATTTGATTTTTGAGCTCCCAAAAACACTAGTTAACACTATTTATTTTGATTTTTCTCCACCACAAAAGTGAGTCACATAGGATTCTCTTATCATTTCACGCGCGTTATAAGTTTTTAAAACCCGAAAACTTGTTTGGCTAATTCCTCTCGGACCTAAATCTCGGTGCTAAGCAAGCTCGTAACACCAGGGGTGTTACAGCGATGAGGTACCCTGGGCCCATATCACCTACAGGGTGAGTTTGGCGACCTTATGCCACCAAGATCAAGCTCATGCTTTACATCGTCTTGCAGACAAGTGAGGAGGGAGAGATTGAAAGGACTGTCTCCTTGCATTTTGACATACATGCATATTAGAGAGGAATTTGGGAAATTCTTGGGTTGAATAAGTAGGAGAGGAGTGGGACTTACACTTGAGATGGATTGGGTGCTAGCAACCTTCATCTTCATCACATGCAAGATGAAATCAAGATTAGGATTGGGATTTTGCATTTGAGAAAGAAATGAAATATTTCTTGAGCTCACTCAAGTGATGGAGGTGGTGAGGATGATGATAAGCTTCATATTCTCTTGAGATGATGGCCTTGCTCTTGGGTTAGACCATCCGTTCTTCTCTTCTTCCTTCTCCTTTCTTGCTCTTTTCTCTTTCTCTCTAGTTCTTGTTTTCTCCAACTTTGAGAGAGAGAGGGGGAGGGATGAAACTGGGTGAGTGGAGTGATGAGAGTTAGGTCTGGTGCCTTAGAGTGTCTAATTCAAGCTAACAGGTGGGACCAAGAGAGGTGAAATAAGGACAGCTCATCCAAATGCAATGCTCCGAACGTCGGACAGTCAGGTAGAACATGGATTTTGGGATGTTTGCAATTAAGATAAAAAATTTTGAAATAGGTTTTCTAGTACAAGTCATAAGGGTTTATAGGAACCACTTAAGGCTCAAAAGAACACTCTCCGGGTGATAACTCTGGGATTTGACTCAGGTCAAACAATTGTGTTGACCAACGATGTCATTTGTTATTTGTTGGATATATTGCTATTTGTTTTGTCATTCAATTATCTTATAATTCGATGTAATTATTTTAAATTTTTTTATTCAATTCTTTCGTTGCCATACCCAATTTTAATAAGATTCGATGCAAGAAAATGTATCTATCTATAGAAACATTTTCACCGATGGTTCTAAAATTTTCATATTATCAGGTTTATACTTTAGCGGTGAAAGTCTACGGTAATAACCAGATTCATTTGCAACCAACGGTGATAATAATTTTATCACGTATAGTTTCCTGTTTCAACAACTTATTAGACAGGCCATCAGCGAAAACAAAAAAGAACAGATAAACATACGCGACTGAACCTCCGTTATGCGTGAGGTTTGTTTATTGTGGCCCAGCTAGAAGGAGCCAACGATGTCATTTGCCACGCGACGCAATATTACTTGACTTACCATACCATATTCTTGCACGACGTATGGCTGCAAACCAAACATGCAAGTTTGTGGGAAGGGTACCTATACTTAATAACTAAAAAATGTGTGGCAATCATGAAATCGGCGTATATTGAGATTCACGTGACGAGGGGTGGTTAAAGATGTGGTGTGATATGGTGCTTCATTTTGTACAGCAGTAGGACCGGAGTCTAGCTAATTGGTTTGAAACGCGTGCAGCTAGCAGTGGATGGTCTTAATCTTATATTTGCAGTCGTTATTAAGGAGGTACACGTACTCTATATACAGTTGGCAGCTCCATCATATTCATATGATCGGTCACGTGTGAATGTGATCCGAAAGAAAGGAAGAAGAGCAGCACGATCCCTGTGCTCTAGCTGCGCAGCTGGAAATGGTCCCACCCGTTGGTCGCCCATTTTCCTGGAGAGATGGACAGTGAAATGGCCAGCATATCTCTATCATCGCCACCACCATAGGAGTATTTGTTTTCAACGGTCAGCCAAGCCAGATATAGCTTATTATAACAAAGAAAATAGCAGGTGTGTCACTGACAGGGTGGGCCCCGCCTCACCCGTACCCAACCTAGCTTCTACTGTAGGAGAAAAGCTGTGTCTGAAGCTGCCTGCCGACACGTACTAGCTGTAGCCTGTAGCCTGTAGCCTGTAGCCTCTACTGTGCCGGAGTTTTTTCTTTGATTATTAATTTAATTTAATCTTTGTGGAGCTTAATTTGTTTTGTACTGTACCGATTTGGCACATGGGGTAATGTACTAGTGTGTATGTGTAGTGTCTCCTGCTGACTGCTGTGCTCATGGGCTGGCTGATGTGATGAGAGTCATGCCTGCCGGTGCCAGACTGAAAGCACTCGATATCGGCTATTCGAGCTGAATTTTAGCTGAAATTAGCTGAAAAATACTATTCTAGTTGAATTGTTATGAGAGAAAAATATTATTTCAACTTAAAAAAAATTGTTACGAGAGAAAAATATTATTTCAACTTAAAAAAAAAAAAAGCAAGCCAAGAAGCCGCGGGATCTGCCGGCCAGGCCAGCCGTAGGACTGTAGGAGGAGTATGGAATTCAGAAATCAATCACGTTCACGTGATATACTACTTGTAGCAGACAGCTGCACCTGCGTTGCAGCCCCATTGATTGATTGAACAAGGGAGAGAGAGATCCTTTCCCGTTGTTTCTCCCTTCCACCAGCTGTGCCAAACTTCTCCTAGCTAGCTATTTCCCCTCGTTCACATGAGAATTGAGACATGACCACCGCCACCACGCACCGGCCGCTTCCCTTCCCAGTAGTGCTAGCTCGCTAGCTTTTATTTATTCAGTTTATGTATGTGCTGGCTGACTGCTTGATGAGAACATCGTCCGTCAGCTGATTCATTCCATCCTCCACAAAGCAACCAAATTCAAGCATCCATCCATCTTCCATCCTGGGCTGAGCTCGCTCGTATCGTTCAGATGTCTCGTGCCTTAGTAGCGCTGTACATCACCATCTGCTCCGTCCTCTTCCTCCTCTCCAAGATGCTCATCTCCTTCCTCCTCTACAAGAAATGGGCCCACAAGAAGAGGATCATCGACAACAGCCTGGCCGGCGGCAAGATGGTCATCTTCCGCTCCGCCACCATGGCCATGCCGCAGTCGCTGACCCCCAAGTCCTTCCTCGCCATGCTCATGGGCCTCTCCACCAAGGACGTCATCGGCGCCGGCGGCTACGGCACCGTCTACCGCCTGCGCCTGGACGACAAGACCGCCTTCGCCGTCAAGAGGCTCAACCGGGGCACCGCCGAGATGGACCGCGGATTCGAGCGGGAGCTGGACGCCATGGGCGACATCAAGCACCGCAACATCGTCCCGCTCTGCGGCTACTACGCCGCCACGCACTTCAACCTCCTCATCTACGAGCTGATGCCCAACGGGAGCCTGGACCAGGCGCTGCATGTGAACCAGCAGTTCCTCCTTGGCTGGCCTGCTCGCTACCGGATCGCCCTGGGCGTTGCTCGCGGCCTGTCGTACCTCCACCACGACTGCATCCCGCACGTGATCCACCGCGACATCAAGTCCAGCAACATCCTCCTGGACCACCACATGGAGGCGCGCCTCTCCGACTTCGGCCTCGCCACGCTCATGAACCCCAGCGCCAGCCACGTCACCACCCTCGTCGCCGGCACCTTCGGCTACCTCGCGCCCGAGTACTTTGACACCGGCAGGGCCACCACCAAGGGCGACGTCTACAGCTACGGCGTCGTCCTGCTGGAGCTGCTCACGGGGAAGAGGCCCACCGACGAGTCCTTCCTGGAGAACGGCACAAGGCTCGTCACCTGGGTCAGGGAGACCATGGAGGAGAAGCGGGAGGAGCACGCCATAGACGAGGCTCTGCTGAAGCTGCACCACCAATTACCCACCGAGGAAGTCAGGTTGGTCTTCTCCGTCGCCGACAAGTGCCTCGACTCTGATCCCGCCAACAGACCAACCATGGCGCAAGTTGTCAAGATGCTGGAGCAAGGCAACACCACCCACCACCCACCACCAGCAACAGCAGACTCTGATTCTACTCTTCCTAGCTAGTAGTACACTAGTACTCGGTAGGATTCAATACATACATACATTTTTTATTTTTCATTAATTTTAATGAATTGTCTCCATGCATGGTAGTCTGTTTGGTCCCGATCGATCTGCATGCCAAAGAAAGCTGCAAATATCTATCTAAATCAAAATATACAATAATAAGTAGGTATGCGTGCATGCATGTAGCGGATCAAAGGTAGCGTTTGGCTGGAAGTTAAGTTGGACTGGGACGGTTCCATCTGTGATTTCTGGGACGGGATGGAGATAGGACGACTTCATTTTCTTTTTGGTTGACGAGGGACGAAATCGACCCATTTGTGTTTAGTTCAGAGACATCAGAAGTGAGATGAGCCACCGATAAATGAGACCTATTTGCCAGATTGTTTTTATTTATTTTTTAATGTTTTTATTTTTTTTCTTTTTTCCTCCTCTCCTTATCTCTTCTTCCCTCTCTCCTTATCTCTTCCGACACCACTGGGTCACGCCGCCTCGGGTCTTCTTCCCCAGTGAGCCCAGGCGTGACCCACCCCGTGCCTCCTCCACCGGCGAGGCTGGCCGCCTGCCCCGTGCCTCCTCATCCGCACGCCGCCTGGGCCACCTCATCCGCTCACGAGCTGGGCCGCGCGCCGCCGTGGGTCTCCTCTGCCCCGAGCTCGTCTGAGCGCCGCCACGCGCGCCCTTCGTCGGTGAGCTCGGCCGCGTGCCCCTCTGCCTCGAGCTCAGCTGACCACCACCATGGGCCTCCTCTGCCCCGAGCTCGGCTAAGTGTTGCCGTGCGCGTCCTCCGCCGGCGAGCTTGGCCTCCTCTTCTTCTTCCACTACGCTGCCTTCTCTTCTCCCTCGCGTGCACACAGACACAGTGGCCGTCCCACCTGGGGCGCCCCCGTCTGCTTGTTTCGTGGGGGTAGGGTCATCCGGAACTGAAGGGAATATTCCCCTCAGGGACCATCCCACCCTAGGATGCTTCCCGACCAAACAACCCAAAAGAGGGATCATCCCACCCCCGTCCAACTCTATCCTACCAACCAAACACTATCTTCTCCTCTCTTCGTGTGCAGTGTACTGCTAGCTACATGATATAGGAGTAGTATAGCAGAATTAGTTCCTGTACATGATACGATGATGACGACGATGAATTGAGATCACCAACAGATAGCTTTTTTTATACTCACCAACAGATAGCTAGCTATGTAGCAACTGCAAGAGTGGGCAGCATGCACATGGTCAGCGATTGTGGAAAGGAAAAGACTAACTAGATGGGCCCGACCAGCAGCCTGTTCGGGAGGCCGTATCGTATCGTGGATTATTTACTGTTGGCTGGTTTGGTGTGAGAGAAAAACACTATTTCCAGCTGAAAATTTACGATCGTTTACGAGCAAGCGAACAGGCTGCAGGGCCTCGGCCTCGCTGCAGGCTGCACTATCTAGGCCGGGCTGTAGCTCCCTCCACCGGGCCGGCCATTACGTAACTGGGCCGTTTCAAACCTGCGAATTGAATTTGTGCCCACGGCACAACGGGTACCTGCATCAGGACTGGACCTGCACTGCAATGCATACATGCGATGCAATCAACGTGCGTAAAGCTTAAGCTCTTAAGGGCTTGATTGGGATAGCTCCACCAACCAGAGGCGGAACCAGACAAACAGCTCAGGGGGCCAAGACCAAGACAACACATGTACTTATACAACCTGTTCGCTGGTTGATTTTTGGGCTGATAAGTCTGGCTGATGCTGGTTTATTACGAGAGAAAAATATTATTGGCTGACTGATAAGCCCTAACTGAAACCAACAAGCGAAAATGCTGATAGAGTAGACATCACATTTAACCTCTCCTTCGCTTCAAAATAATGACTGCTACAGCAATTGCGGCAACGGTATTTAAAAATTTGTCACATGTTAGGAGGGCCTGCCCCCTGCTAGCCCCCTAGTTATGCCACTAAAAAAATAAATCTAGATCTAGGATTTACTTGGATATCCACCATGGAGCAGCTCAACCAATGAAGCTGGTGGAGCCAGACGTAATTGGTACAGCTCCACCGTATAGGGATGAGATGGCGGATTAAATGGGTGAATAGTCCTTTCTAAAAATAAACATATTGGCTAACCAAAACAAATACAGAATTAAAACATCGGTCTAGCCAAGCCCGCACGTCTCTGTTGTGTCGACCGTTCACTTGGTGGTTCGGCGGCTAATTGGCATCACCCGCCAAGCCCGCACGTCGGGCACTGCAAGAACCTACCCCAAAAGTAAGGGTAGATCAATGACACGCTCTACTAGAGTTGCTCTTCGCGATCCCCGTGGGGTGAGCATAATCCTCCTCACAAATCCTCCTTCGGAGCACCGCACAATCTTCTCGCGTGCTTCAACGGAGTCAAAAGCCACTAAGCCATCTAGGAGGTGGAAACCAAACCAAGAGTAACAAGCACCTCTGGCTTGTAACTCGATCACCTAGTGCCACTCGATGCAACCTCATGATACAATCGCACTAGAATCGCTCACTGACTCGATCGGATAAACACTATCAAACTCAAGTGAGTTTAAGGGCTCCGAAGCACCACCACACAAAGTCACCAAGGCTCTAGTGTGCTCAGAAACCAGCCCAAGCCCGAGCTCCACCTCTATTTATATAGCCCCAAGTCAAATAGAGCCGTTGGAGCAAAAGTGTTGGTTTCTCGAGCACCTGGACACAGTGGTGCCCGTCAACGATCAATTCCAAGCGGCTATTCCAATTAGCCGTTGGTCACGGACAGGTGGCGGTGGCACCGCCTCTAGGTGGCGGTGACCACCTAGCCAACCCTCCGAGAAAAACAACTCTCTGGAAAAAGTGACGGTGCACCGCCCTAGGCACGCAGCGGTGCCCGCGGTGGAGACCAAATCCGGCTTCCCCAACTCTTGACTAAAAAGCGGTGGTGCCTGGCGGTGGCACCACATTGTGAGGGCGAGTGCTTGCGCCTTGGCATGGCGATGCACACCGAACACGTCGGTGCCACCCTTCCTCTACGCTCCTCTCGGCCAAGTCTAGGTGGGCACCGCCCTAGGGGTGGTGGTGCCACCGGACAAGGCACGGCGGTGCTAGCTCCAACCTTTGCTCTCAGCCTCGACCAGTTGGTCACCGCTACTAGGGTGGCGGTGCACCGAATAGCTAGGGGTGGCGCCCCTAGGGCAACACTCTGAGCCCAGCTTCGCCTCCTTTCTTCACCTTTTGACTTCTCCTTTACAAAAGTGCTAACACCACCAAGTGATCACCACCTTGTGCACGTGTGTTAGCTTTTCTCAAACATTTTCTAATGGGTTAGCACTCTTTTCACAATGCCACTCGATCCTAACACGTACGCCAAGTTAGATCGCTCAAGTAGCACTAGATGACCGATTTGTAAACAAGTTTGCCCTCTTAATATTACGACCATCTATCCTAAACCCGGTCATGCACTTCTCTACACAACCTTTGACCGGTGAAATGAAATGCCCTATAAATATACATTTGCCTTGCGCATTCTATTCCATCTCCTCCAATGTTGATGCAACACAAGCACCAATCAATCATAAATGATATGATCCATTTCATACCATCACATGACCTTATTGGTTCATCGATCTTGACCTCACTTGCTTTTCACCATTGCCTTCGTCCGTCGACGCCAAGTCTTGCTCAAGCTTCACCGCCACGCGGTCCATCGCTCCAAAGCCTCCAACTTGCCCTTCATGCTTGCAACCGGTCCATCAAACCAAGTCTTGTCTTGATCTTCTCCACCTTATTCATATGACTCCATGTCATGTCTCATATGCAATGAGCTCCTTCATCACATGTGTGAGCCTTGCAATAAATTCAAGTCATCTCCACCGTCATGGCATGAGTTGCTCACATAAGTGTACCTGTGGACTAATTATATGTGTATCTCACATTTAAATACATTAGTCCACCTAGGTTGTCACTCAATTACCAAAACTAAACTAGAGACCTTTTAATCTCTCCCTTTTTGATAATTGATGACAACTCTATAAAGATATGGAAATTAAGCTCAAATGGATTCATGTGCTTACCCAGGCAATTTTACCATGTGTAAATGATTTTGGACAAGTACCACAAACCTGAATTGGTAGTATTACCTCCCCCTACATTTGTGCAAGTGTGTTTGGTTTAAAGCTTGCACATATATATAGATTAGAATTGTGGGAGAGTAATTACAACCAATGATGTTAAGGTGTAAAAAATTAACCTTTGATGCGTGATACCAATCAGAGTGCACATTTTAAGATCATCCTTAGCATCATGAGTAGCTAGACAACAAAAAAAACACTAGAAACCCCATGAGATCAACATTATAAGCAAGGTTCTAGTTTTTGCTTGAAAAACACAAGTCTAGCTATCAATGTAAGCACGCTAGTATTCAAATCATCAATCAAGTTCTATTACTAGCGTACAACATGCAAGCATGCACATGAAATTTAAAAACTTACGCAATGCAAGCAAGCACATGAATATGCACATATCAAATACAACCAATCAAAGTTCATGAGCTTGCTCCCCCTACTTGTGTGCTTCTTTTATCCAAGAATTTTGATCCTTCTCAATTCCTCAATATTGCTCCCTCTCCCTCTTTGTCCATTGTCCATGTCCAAATCCTAATTTGTAATATCTTTGTCTCAATCTCTCCCCCTTTGTCATTAATTTTTATAAAAGGTGTGCATCTCTTGATACAAAGGGTTGCATTGGGGTAGATGGTTAACACTTGAATCTTGTGTTTTTTATGGATACCACTACATATGTTGGAATGACATCACTTGTAGCCCTTGAGATACCTCATGTAGGATCTTTTGACCTTGATACCAATCGGTGGGACACCTCCCTCTATGTCATAGCATGGGTCATCCACTTGATAATCTTGAGCTCTTATATGTGAGGTAACTT